CGGTTACGGTTCCGGTTACGTTACGTTAGTAGTAGTACGTACGTACGTACGTACGTACGTACGTACGTACGTACGTACGTACGTAGTAGTAGTAGTAGGTAGGTAGGTAGTAGTAGTAGTAGTAGGTAGGTAGGTAGTAGTAGTAGTAGTAGTAGTGTGTGTGTGTGTGTGTGTGTGTGTGTGTGTGTGTGTGTGTGTGTGTGTGTGTGTGTGTGTGTGTGTGTGTGTGTGTGTGTGTGTGTGTGTGTGTGTGTGTGTGTGTGTGTGTGTGTGTGTGTGTGTGTGTGTGTGTGTGTGTGTGTGTGTGTGTGTGTGTGTGTGTGTGTGACAGTAACTCTAATTGCTCTTCACCTCTACTTCAAAAGCTTTTAGCCTGGTCAGCACTCAGCCAATCTGGATGCCCGCACAAAGAAGTCAGTCTTTGAGCAGAGGAGAGGATTACCTTCACACACTCTCTCTGTCACACTTTGCTGAATGCTCTGATACACAACCCAAATTAGCTAAATGAAGTGATAAAAAAGTGTCACTTTCTATGATTTTTCTTCTCCTGTCTCTCTCCCAGCAGTGTGAGCACTGATTGGTTTCATTGTGGATTTTCTCTACCCTTCTGTTTTTTGAATCCGTCTCCACTCTTCTCCTTCTCTCACAGCGCTCACTTCATTTGCATTGATAAGTATGTTTCTCAATTTGTGGAATAAAGAATAAGTGTCTGAAACTGCCTCCTGCTATCTAGACGCAGCTGTGAATAAGCCAGCTACAAAGCTGGAATAAATGTGTTTGCAATTACAGAGGAGAAAGAGAGAAAAAGGAGACAGAAAGCTTCAGCTGTCAGCGAGATATATGGTTGCCTCATTTCTTCTCTCTCACTCGAACAAATTCAAAGATGCCTCACTCTGTATCACTGTCAGAAAAATAAACAACATTTCCAAAGTGGTTTACATTGCAATGCTCAGTGATAAAGGATTCTCACAAATCCAAATTATGAGATTTTTCCAATGACCTTTCAGTCACTCCCTACATCTGTCACTGAAAGCATTCTAAAGGAGCACTGGCTACTGTAAAGTCAGTGACATTTCTACCGTGGTTTAGTTTACTATTTTCTTTTCTGCCATAAGCAGCCACAGCGACAGTATAGACAGGCGCTAACCCTACATAAGCTATACTCAACTTGTAGCTATGCAGAACACAGATACTTATGGCTCAATTTAAAGACTACGCAGTCCATTTACAGAGAATATATGTTGGCATGTCACAGTCCGAAACGCACAGATGTAAATAATGAAATTCATGATGGTTGAAATCCATTTAGATGCTTCAATTTTAGGGTTATCGAATTGTGAATGCTGGCTCACTGTGCAATTGTCGATCCACCATTTTGGTCGAGACAGAAATACCTCGACAACTATTGACTAGATGTGAAGACATTTATAATCCCCTGAGGACATATCCTATTATTTTGGTGATCCTCTCACTTGGCTAGAATCGAACCGGTTGCTAAATGTGGTTCCAACTGAAAAGTGTCTACAACTGTACTTACTGTATTGCCATGAAATTTAAAATGAATTCATGCCCCGCTCAGGATTACTTTGGCCTTATGTGTAACGCCATCATCAAGACAGAAATCACTCCACAAGCTGAAATCAACTATGGCAATAATTAGCAGCATTTGTGGACAAAAGGAGTGTTTCTTTGAGCATTGCCTCTGTTTGCCCTTAGGATGTTAGTCTAGCTATTATGTGTATTTGTTTTGGAAGCAAGTGATATAAAGAAATAACCTTGTCATAAATAGATTTACTCAGTTCCGGGTTCAAGCCTCTAAACATGCAGCTAATAATAGCCACAGAAATATCTAGCTTTGATTCAGCCACCAAGGTAAATGTATATATGTATGTGAAACTATGTGTTGAAATGTATTTCATTATACAGACTTGTTATATACCAGTCAATGGGAAGGAGGGCTAATTAAGGATCACTTTGACATTTCAAATCTAGCAATTTTACCAATCTGTTGCTTCTCCCAGTATCGGCCATAAGCAAACAATATAATTAAAAATACTAATTTGTGAAGAAAAAGCAACACCCAAACTGGACACACTCTCAAACACTTTACAATTTAAGACTTTTAATAACTGATGACCACCACTTCAGTAACTGCTAATCCCTTTCTAAATTCCTCCACAGCTGTAGGTGTTTTCTCGATAACTGTGCAGTATACTTTTTTCCA